TGCGCCATTGTGAAAAGTGTGTGTGGTTTAAATTGTGCTAAATATTGGGGGGTGTGGTTAAACTGAGTTTGAGATGACTTACACAGTGTAGAATGTGGTAATGTTAAATAGGGAATGTACACTGCAGAATGAAGGGGAAAAGATGCCAATCCTACCATATACAGTTGTGTTCAAAATAATAGCAGCGTGTTGAAAAAAGTGAATAAAGCTGAAAAGTAGTACTAGTAGTAGTAGTAGTATGAGAAACATCCCCATATCATGATGCTTGGGCAACCATGCTTCACTGTCTTCACAGTGTACTGTGGCTTGAATTCAGTGTTTGGGGGTCTGACAAACTGTCTCCGGCCACTAGACCCAAAAAGAATAATTTTACTTTCATCAGTCCACAAAATGTTGCGCCATTTCTCGTCAAGCCAGTCAATGTGCTCTTTGGCAAATTGTAACCTCTTCAGCACATGTCTTTTTTTCAACAGTGGGACTTTACGGGGGCTTCTTGCAGATAGCTTGGCTTCACATAGGCATCTTCTAATTGTAACAGTACTCACAGGTAACTTTAGACCTTCTTTGATCTTCCTGGAGCTGATTGTTGGCTGAGTCCTTGCCATTTTGGCTATTCTTCTATCCATTCGAATGGTAGTTTTTCGCTTTCTTCCACGTCTTTCAGGTTTTAGTTGCCATTTTAAAGCATTTGCGATCATTTTAGCTGAGCAGCCTATCATTTTCTGCACTTCTTTATATGTTTTCCCCTCTCCAATCAACTTTTTAATCAAGGTACGCTGTTCTTCTGAACAACGTCTGGAACGACTCATTTTCCTCAGAATTTCAGAGAGAAATGCACTGTAACCAGCATGTACAACATTTGCTGCCTTCCTTCCTTCCTTAAATAAGGGCAATAATTGCCACCTGTTTTTCAAAGAATGAATGACCTCACTAATAGAACTCTACACTGCTATTATTTTGAACATGCTCCTTTCAATTAGTGATTCAATTACACAGAATCAGCAGCATGCATGTCATGACTGTTGGGTCTGTTGGATTTCTATTACTCTACTACACCTGTTAGTAAATTTTTTGCCATGTAGAAATATCATTTCTACCAAAAACATTGATTGATCAGGTTAGTGATGTCTGACTGCTATTATTTTGAACACAACTGTATATATATACAGTGAGGAACAGAAGTATTTGAACACCCTGCGATTTTGAAAGTTCTCCCACTTAGAAATCATGGAGGGGTCTGAAATTCACATTGTAGGTGCATTCCCACTCTGAGAGACAGAATTAAAAAAAAAAATTCAGGAAATCACATTGTATGATTTTTAAAGAATTTATTTGTTTTGCACTGCTGAACATAAGTATTTGAACACCTAAGAAAATCAGTGTTAATATTTAGTACAGAAGCCTTTGTTTGCAATTACAGAGGTCAAACGTTTCCTGTAGTTTTTGACCAGGTTTGCACACACTGCAACAGGGATTTTGGCCCACTCCTCCACACAGATCTCCTTTAGATCTGTCAGGTTTCGGGGCTGTCGCTGAGCAACATGGAGTTTCAGCTCCCTCCAAAGATGTTCTATTGGATTTAGGTCTGGAGACTGGCTAGGCCACTCCAGAACCTTGATATGCTTCTTACGGAGCCACTCCTTGGTTATCCTGGCTGTGTGCTTCGGGTCGTTGTCATGTTGGAAGACCCAGCCACGACCCATCTTCAATGCTCTGACTGAGGGAAGGAGGTTGTTGCTCAAAATCTCACAATAAATGGCCCCATTCATCCTCTCCTTAATACAGTGCAGTCGTCCTGTCCCCTTTGCAGAAAAGCACCCCCAAAGCATGATGTTACCACCCCCATGCTTCACAGTAGGGATGGTGTTCTTGGGATGCACTTGGGATGTTAATAGGATTGAAAAAAGACAAGTCCATCTAGTTCAACCAACAATCACAGTTCAGGGGCGCTAAAAAAAAAAAACACAAAGTTGAAATGCTCTATTACTGCCCCCCAGCTGATCCCCTTAAGCTGCAAATGCAGCTGTATGGGAATACACCCATGCTGTATTTGCGATGCTTTGCATTGTGGAACAGCAAAAATTATCTCCAATGTTGCTCATTTTAGTGAATGAGACCTTTTTGCAAATGCGATCCACCACAGATCACTTTTCAGAGGGTGATGCTAGTGTATACTAACCCTTACACACACAGATTTTATATCAGATTGAATTTTATAGATTAGCTTTATTTTTCATAAATACAAATTAAGCAGATATATTCTAAATGGATTGTTAAGGTACACTTTTGTACAATGCAGGGGATGGCGAATGTTACTGATCTGACAGATCAAATGTGGCCATTTTTTAATGGAAACCACAGTTCTACATGAAAACCAAGAACACAAAGTATATTATCTAGGGGCAATAGGCGTTTATCATATAAATCCAAATTATACACAGCTCTCAGGTGACCTATATGGAAAAGTGAGTTTGACAACAACAAAAAACAAAAGCTACAAATGAGTGACCAAAGACAGCAGCAAAGGCCAGTTCCCCTCCAGCATGGGGCACTACAGAGACACCAGATAGATGGATGGATACATCAGCTGTCAGGGGCTCCCGGGTATGACCAGAGATGTGTGACTGATGCAGGGAAACGCAGACTTCAGAAATGTGATAAACAATATAATTTATTAACACTAACCATACAAACATAAACGCAGGGCAATACTAAACATAATACAGTGCAAACAAACCAAACCAACCACCCACAGATAACAGTACATACAAGCAAGCGTCGTCAGGCAGGCCGGGTCAATATCAATTGGGCAGGTAGGTACGGGGGGAGCAAGCAGAGAATGGTCGGGGTCACAGGCCAGGTTCAGCAGGTAGCAAGCAGCGAGGTACAGAGGGTCAGACAGAGGGGTGGTCAGGGTCACAAGCCAGGATCAGAGCAGGAGAAGTCAGCAGCAGTTCAGATCAGGGTCAGCAAAGGAACAGAAACAGGATGCAGGACAGATACAGGGCCCAGGACAAACACAACACCAAGGCAGAGTCTGCAAGTCTGGCCATCCCTTAAATACCCCAGTATCATCAGTTCCAGGTGTTAGCTGGCTGAAAGGTTGAGTCTCTGATTGCTGGGAGCACCCGCTGGCCAGCCCTGGTACTGCAGATCAAAAGGCAGGTGAGTCCCACCATTGCTGGCCAGTCCATTCCTAACAGTACCCCCCCCTCAAGGAGCGGCCTCAGGACGCTCCAAACAGTCCTAGCTGGGCAAAATGTTCCACCGCCCGGGTCTGGCAACTGGCGGGATAGCAAAGACTGGCATACCGGGCAGGACTCGGGCAGCGGCACACCGGGCTGGACTCCGGGCAGCGGCACATCGAGCAGAGGCACTCCGGGCAGAGGCACACCGGGCAGAGGCACACATCGGGCAGGACTCCGGGCAGAGGCACATCGGGCAGAGGCACATCGGGCAGGACTCCGGGCAGAGGCACATCGGGCAGGACTCTGGGCAGAGGCACATCGGATTACCAGGCGAAGCAGCAGGCAGCGGGCCCCGGGCGGGGCGACAGGCAGCGGGCCCCCGGCAAGGGGCGACAGGCAGCGGGCCCCCGGGCGGGGCGGGACAGGCACCGGGCCCCCGGGCGGAGCAGCAGGCACCGGCCCCCGGGCGGAGCAGCAGGCACCGGGGCCCCCGGGTGGAGCGACAGGTCTCGGGCCCTCAGGCGGAGCGGCGGGCGCCGGACCCCCAGGAGGAGCGACAGGTCTCGGGCCCTCAGGCGGAGCGGCGGGCGCCGGACCCCCAGGTGGAGCGACAGGTCTCGGGCCCTCAGGCGGAGCGGCGGGCGCCGGACCCCCAGGTGGAGCGACAGGTCTCGGCCCTCAGGCGGAGCGGCGGGGCCGGACCCCCAGGCGGAGCGACAGGTCTCGGGCCCATAGGCGGAGCGGCGGGCGCCGGACCCCCAGGAGGAGCGACAGGTCTCGGGCCTCAGGCGGAGCGCGCGGGCGCCGGACCCCCAGATGGAGCGACAGGTCTCGGGCCCTCAGGCGGAGCGGCGGCGGGCGCCGGACCCCCAGGAGGAGCGACAGGTCTCGGGCCCTCAGGCGGAGCGGCGGGCGCCGGACCCCCAGGTGGAGCGACAGGTCTCGGGCCCTCAGGCGGAGCGGGCGGGCGCCGGACCCCCAGGTGGAGCGACAGGTCTCGGGCCCTCAGGCGGATAGCGGCGGGCGCCGGACCCCCAGGCGGAGCGACAGGTCTCGGGCCCATAGGCGGAGCGGCGGGCGCCGCCGGACCCCCAGGAGGAGCGACAGGTCTCGGGCCCTCAGGCGGAGCAGCGCGGGCGCCGGACCCCCAGATGGAGCGACAGGTCTCGGGCCCTCAGGCGGAGCGGCGGGCGCCGGACCCCCAGGTGGAGCGACAGGTCTCGGGCCCTCAGGCGGAGCGGGGGGCGCCGGACCCCCAGGTGGAGCGACAGGTCTCGGGCCCTCAGGCGGAGCGGCGGGCGCCGGACCCCCAGGAGGAGCGACAGGTCTCGGGCCCTCAGGGGGAGCGGCGGGCGCCGGACCCCCAGGTGGAGCGACAGGTCTCGGGCCCATAGGCGGAGCGGCGGGCGCCGGACCCCCAGGAGGAGCGACAGGTCTCGGGCCCCTCAGGCGGGGCGGCGGGCGCCGGACCCCCAGATGGAGCGACAGGTCTCGGGCCCTCAGGCGGAGCGGCGGGCGCCGGACCCCAGGTGGAGCGACAGGTCTCGGGCCCTCAGGCGGAGCGGCGGGGCGCCGGACCCCCAGATGGAGCGACAGGTCTCGGCCCTCAGGCGGAGCGACAGGTCTCAGGCCCCCAGGCGGGGGGCGGGGCGGCGGGCGCCGGATCCCCAGGCGGAGCGGCGGGCGCTGGACCCCAAGCGGAGCAACAGGTCTCGGGCCCCCAGGCGGAGCGGGGGCACCGAGTCACCAGGCACGACAGTGGGCTCCGAGTCAACTGGTATGACCGCAGGCACTGGGTCAGACATTGTATGGTCTGGCTGGACAGCAGGCATCGGGTCACCAGGCATCAGGTCATTTGGCTCGACAGCGGGCACCGCGTCATCTGGCAAGGCAGTGAGTGGGCTCCGAGTCAACTGGTATGACCGCGGGCACTGGGTCAACATTGGATCGTCTGACGGACAGCGGGCAAACATCGGGTCACCAGGCATCAGGTCATTTGGCTCGACCGCGCGGGCACCGCGTCATCTGGCAAGGCAGTGGGCTCCGAGTCAACTGGTATGACCGCAGGCACTGGGTCAGACATTGTATGGTCTGGCTGGACAGTGGGCATCGGGTCACCAGGCATCAGGTCATTTGGCTCGACAGCGGGCACCGCGTCATCTGGCAAGGCAGTGGGCTCCAAGTCAACTGGTATGACCGCGGGCACTGGGTCAGACATTGGATCGTCTGACTGGACAGCGGGCACTGGGTCACCAGGCATCAGGTCATTTGGCTCGACAGCGGGCACCGCGTCATCTGGCAAGGCAGTGGGCTCCGAGTCAACAGGCACGACAGTGAGCACCGGGGCATCAGGTACCGGATTGTCTGGCTCGACAGCGGGCATCGGGTCACCAGGTATGACAGGCGGGCACTGGGTCACCAGGCATCAGGTCATTTGGCTTGTCAGCGGGCACCGCGTCATCTGGCAAGGCAGTGGGCACCGGTCACCAGGCATTGGATCGTCTGGCTCGACAGCGGGCATCGGGTCACCAGGTATGACAGCGGGCACTGGGTCACCAGGCATCAGGTCATTTGGCTTGCCAGCGGGCACCGCGTCATCTGGCAAGGCAGTGGGCACCGGGTCACCAGATATGACAGCGGGCTCTGAGTCAATTGGCACGACAGCGGGCACTGGATCATTGGTACCGGATCATCTGGATCAACAGCGGGCATCGAGTGGTCAACTGGCCCAACAGGATCGTCGGGCTGGACCAGCTCATCATGCTGAGTAGCGGCATCAGCTGAATGCAGGCATCAGGCTGAGGAGAGGCTTCAGGCTGAAGAGAGGCATCCGGCTGAAGAGAGGCATCCGGCTGAAGAGAGGCATCAGGTCCGAGTAGAGGCTTCAGGCTGAGTAGAGGCTTCAGCTGAACCACGGAAGGCAGGCTCACCGGTTGGATACTGGCAGGATGGTATTGGTTGGAAAGAATTTTCGCTTTTTTCTGGTTTTAACTACTGGAGCACTGCAAGTAAACGCAGGTCTGCAAAACGAAATGGAGCAGCTGGAGACAGAGAAAACTGGAGGATAGAACAGGAGAGGGAGCAGTTGCTACAGAGGGCTCTTTTACAGGGTTAAAGGCAGGATAGGTGCAGCGAGTGGGAACAGGGTACTGACATGCGGTAGATAGCAGGGCAGGAGGAGCTGGTGGGAATACAGGAGTAGAGTTAGAAGCAGGACTGGGTCTTTGTAAGCTGACTGAGGCTGGGTGCACAAATCTGTCCATGTCTGCAGTAGGGGTTGAACAAAGCTGAGCTTACACAAAGTCTGTCTGGTCAATGACTGCACTGCGTTGATACAATCTCTTAGTGTCTGTGGTGAACATGTGGAGTAACGCTCCAAAAGGTAACCACATCATCCTCTAATAACCACACCGGGACTCTACCTGGTCTGCACTAAATGGTGGCAAAAATTCATCCCTGCATTCGGGGGAACCAGATGAAAACCAACTCTGCACAAACCTCAATCAATGGCTGCACCTCAGAGAACACTGTGCCTGATCTACTAGAACATGAGCGAGCCGTATACATTCTAGCAATTCATCCCGTGTATACTCCTTCAGAGTTTGATAAGCATACTCCTGTCATCAAACACTAGCAGATATAAAATACTCAACCTCATCAAGATCCATCTCCTTCCCATCAACAAGCCAAGATGGCTTCCCTGTGCAGCCACTTCTGTCAGGACTGGCCTTGGTGTAATGTCAGGGCTCCCGGGTATGACCAGAGATGTGTGACAGATGCAGGGAAACGCAGACTTCAGAAATGTGATAAAACAATATAATTTATTAACACTAACCATGACAAACATAAACGCAGGGAATACTAAAACATAATACAGTGTGCAAACAAACCAAACCAACCACCCACAGATAACAAGTACCTACAAGCAAGCGACGTCAGCAGGCCGGGTCAATATCAATTGGGCAGTATAGGTACGGGGGGAGCAAGCAGAGAATTGGTCGGGTCACAGGCCAGGTTCAGCAGGTAGCAAGCAGCGAGGTACAGAGGGTCAGACAGAGGGGTGGTCAGGGTCACAAGCCAGGATCAGAGCAGGAGAAGTCAGCAGCAGTTCAGATCAGGGTCAGCAAAGGAACAGAAACATGGTTGCCAGGACAGATACAGGGCCCAGGACAAACACAACACCAAGGCAGAGTCTGCAAGTCTGGCCATCCCTTAAATACCCCAGTATCATCAGTTCCCAGGTGTTAGCTGGCTGAAAGGTTGAGTCTTTGATTGCTGGGAGCACCCGCTGGCCAGCCCTGGTACTGCAGATCAAAAGGCAGGTGAGTCCCACCATTGCTGGCCAGTCCCATTCCTAACATCAGCACTCATCTTAGCAGTGAACACATGTGACATTCTCCTAGTAGAGAGGAGCTCCAGGTCAGGCAGGAGCGGTGGAATGGACAGGCAGGCCCTAATGGTAGGGTCACGCACCGACTGATGACAGCCACCACCCGCAGATCGGGAGTCCTCAGGGCGCGGTAAGTCTAAGTCCCAGGCTAGCCTTTCAACAGGGCCCCTGATGGTGGGGATGGACTTGACGCAGCCCAGAGACCTGGTCGCGGCCCCCGAGCCGTAACCTCAGGCTGCGGCAATGGCCGCCGCCAATGGCCGTAAGCTGGTGAGAACACAGATGGGAAACGATAGCGTGGTCGGATACAGGCCGGGTCGATAACAGTGGACAGACAGTACAAGACAGTAGGCTAAGAATACTCAGGTCACGGGCTGGGGTTTCAGCAACGTTTGTTTAAAGGTTTCAGGTAAGTGGTTGAAAAATTTTATGGTGTGAAGCATGAGAATAGTCTTGTCAAAGCGAGTTGGTTTCCAGGAAAGCAACGAGAGTAGAACAAGAGCTTGCGTGCAACACAATCATACAGGACACACAAATGCAAAGAGCAACTGCAGACAGCAGGCTTAAATGTGATCAACACACCCTCCATGGAGGAGGGAGGCTGCAGAGACTTGAAAGCATAAAGGCTCCCACCAATGCTTTCGCAGAAAGTGGATGCCAGCACATGGAGCAGCATAAGTTTTGAGGAAAAGGTAAGGAACCTTGACAGCCAGGCACCTGATCTGCATATACTGCCTCCCAAAGAAAAAGGGAGACTGGATAGGGAGCATAGAGGGTGACATTGGCTGTTCTGCTTTT